TGAATTGAAATTTTAAAACCCACAGCTGCGACCGCTTCCTGCGGCAAAAGTAGCACCAACCGACGACACTTCCCAATATACACAGCTGTATGTACTTACACATGTCTGTCGCCCTCGCATTGTGAATGCGAATGTGATTGTGAGTGTAGGTCGGCTTATTTATGTGTCCATTCCGAAGAGGTATTTCTATGATATTATTCTTATTTAACAATTTAAACACGAAAAAAAGGGGAAAAAACCATTTTATTTGATATTTGAAATTCCAAAATTAACAAAAACCCTTTTTTTTCTAATCAATTTCTATTTCAGAAACAGGAAATACTTTTTTAGTTCATTTTTTAGTAAACTGTGTTTTTAAATAATGTATTTATTTAATTTTTTTTATTTAGATCTGACTTTATGATCATAATCAAATAGTCTACCAAACAAAAGGTTATTAATCTGATTTTTAGTTTATATACACTTTTGTTTTTAATTCTACATTAAATATTCGTAAAAGTGCAAGCAAAAAAGACATTAAAAATAAAATGAAGCCGACAAATTTGTTCCTGAAAATATGCTAAATAAATAAATATAATATAAATAAAAAAATAATAATAATAAATTTATTAAATTAAATTTTTATTAACTATTTCGTAGAATATTTGTTAAACTCTATTAAAATAATAGACAATACAAATAAGTATTGTTTTCATTTTTGGTGATTTATCATAAGATCCATTAAGGTATTCTCTTCTATTTTCTCCATTTTACCTTAAATTTTTGTACGTGTATGAAAAAAATATTTTACCAAAAATTAAGAACATAATGTGCATCAATGTATACGACTTAAATGAATACAAAGCGTAATAGAGAAAAATACAATATTAAAACAAGCCAAGGCACAATGAAATAACTATATTAAAAATGTGCAAAACAAACACACAAATAAAATATTTTTCTTATTGCATTCTCTAGCCGAAATCAATTTTTGGAACTGCTGCTGCTTGCAATTCATTTAAATAAAAAACAAGAAAGAAAGCAAACTTCGGCAAGCCGAAGTTCATATACCCTTGCAGCTATCGCAAGAATTAAATATTTTTGAAAACATTAAAATTATGATTTACTTGCGTATATGTTTAAAAACATTGAAGCTATGACGATTTGCAGCTTAATTATTTGATTGTTCTTTTATATATTTTTATTATTTGTATGGGAGCTATATGCTATAGTCGTCCGATTTTGATGAAATTTAAACCATAATTCTAAAATATTTAACCATTGCTATATGTCGAAGAACTAAAAAAAAATAAAAAATAGCAAAGTTATAATTTTTTTCAATTATTTTTCCGATTGTTCCTATGGGAGCTATATGCTATAGTCGTCCGATTTTGATGAAATTTTAACCATAATTCTGAAATATTTACCCATTGCTATATGTCGAAGAACTAAACAAAAAATTAAAAAACAGCAAAGTTATAATTTTTTTTCAATTATTTTTCCGATTGTTCCTATGGGAGCTATATGCTATAGTCGTCCGATCCGGCTCGTTCCGACTTATATACTACCTGCAATAGAAAGACAACTTTTGGGAAAGTTTCATGCTGATAGCTTTAAAACTGAGAGACTAGTTTGCATATAAACGGACGGACAGACGGACAGACTGACAGACGGACAGACGGACGGACAGACGGACAGACGGACATGGCTAGATCGACTCTTCTAGTGATGCTGATCAAGAATATATATACTTTATAGGGTCGGAAACGTCTCCTTCACTGCGTTGCAAACTTCTGACTGAAATTATAATACCCTCTGCAAGGGTATAACAACACATATATGCACAGATATGTGCACAAACATGAATACATGGTATATGTCTATATGTCTATGGGGGCGTAGAAGTTTATATCGTTGATACACTTGGACGCATTCTTATGCCAAACACACACTCTACCCCTTTATCGCCCAGTATTTAAATTTAAGCTCTACGCTTCTTTTTATACCCTTGCAGAGGGTATTATAATTTCATTCAGCAGTTTGCAACGTAGTGAAGAAGGCATTTCCGATCCTATAAAGTAAATATATTCATGATCTGCATCAGTAGGAGAGTCGATCTAGCCATGTCTGTCTGTAAATCAGAATTACGCTTCTTATTAATTCAAATCTAAAAACGATATTTTATAATTGAACTGAAAATCATCATAGCTTCAATGTTTTTATTTATATTGCAATTTATATGTTTTAAAAAATCGTACATTTTTGCAATAGCTGCAAGGGTATATAAACTTCGACTGGCTGCAGTTTGCTTCCTCGCTTGTTATTTAAAAATTCCAATGTACATGCACAATATAGTTGAGTCCCTCAACTCCGTCGATAACGTCGAATGATGACACATCGGAAAATGTCAGTTCGAATTGGGGGATTGACGGAGTGTGCCACTCGTGTTTATTATTTCCCCTTCGAACTTGTTCAATTTGCAGCATATAACAGAAAAATAATGATCAAACTGGTTTTATTTTTGTGGAATTTAATAACTCTTGACTTGGAAACCAATATTGCAGTTGCTTGTGTGTAAATCTAGATTGATAGATGGTCAACAAATTGATAGCCACTTCCTGCCCATTCCACTGGTTAACAAACAAAACTGTATCACATCAATTGTAAAGATTTTTCTGACAGAAGTATATTGCATTTTTTGCCTTCATTCGATATTTACCAAAATCGGAGGACCCACGGTAACTACTTGAGTTTTGACATTATTAAATGAGGTGTTTATGAGTATAAAATAATCTATTTTAGGTCCGAAAGTCCGTGGAAATCATTCCCAAAGACGAATTCCTTACTGTTATTTAATTTAATTCAAAATAAAATGTACTATTATTATGAACCAAAAAAATGGTTTTACTGCTTTTTAAAGGACTTTAAATTTGTATACAAAAAAAAACTCCTGCTATCAGATTGCTTAAAAATAAATAAAAACCCGCGGGCCTCTTTCATTGCTTTCCACATATTTACGAACTCAAATATTTCCTCTTCAATTCCCGACTCGCACTTTTCCCCACACTTCTGTGGCTTTTCACTCGCGATAATTTAAGAGGGAAATTATGAAGAGCGACACGCGACAAGGTTCATCGGAAATTCCGGCATTTTATCGCCATCGCCACAACTGGCGCAGTCATCTTATTCGACAGACTGCGTCAAAAAAGAATTACACTCGTTCCTTTTATTTTACGATTATTTTCTATTTTAATTATTTACATAAAAATGCTGCTACAAATGATTGATGGCATTGACATAGAGCTGAGCTGAGGGTGAGAGAGAAAGATTCGCAGCCGAAGTCAAATAAAGATGCTGATGATGACTATGATGGTGACAACACACACTCGTTGGCAAATATTACGTATACGTACTGTGAGTGCATGTGTGACCGAGCATGTATAAATTGTAAATCAATAAATAAAGTAAATAAACCAAAACAAAAACAAAAAATCGAACGAGGCTCACGCAGAAATCGTAAATAAATAAAGCGTGCAAAGTGACGCAAAGTACGGCGCACTGAAAATGCAGCATAAAGGGTTAAGGCAGGGGGTTAAGGGCGGAATTTTTGTTTTTTTTTTTTTTTTGGTTTTTGGTCTTTTCGTATGGGACTAACATTGAACAGGCATGTTGTTATTGCTATTATTGTTCCTGGGCTGCGGCCCATTGTTTATTGTATTTTGTATTGGGTATTTGGTATTTCGTGCCGAGCGCAGCGATAAAAATGCTGCTAAAGTATAAATTATGCCAATATAAGTTTGAAAATGCGCGAGATCGCAGCAACGTCATGGCCAATAAGTGAGACAAAAAGAGACACCAAAGATGAGCGAGGGTGGGCAAAACAGTTGCCAATTAGTTAGTTTTAATTAAAACTGAATGAAAACACTGTTATTTCCCATCTGAACCCTTTTAAATTATTTAAATTCACTAGCGTTGATCTTTGCATCCTTTTAAAGAATGCTTTGTGGACACTCTTAAAAACAAAATAACTAATTTGTAATTCATAAATTAACACAAATCACTAAATGAATTTCAATTTCATTTTACTGTTGTTAGACTTATGCAGATTTCTTTTTTAGTGAACAACTTATTTCTCTAAATTAAGTTTCCCGTGCCTATTATAAATATTTTTTAAACATACAGAATCGAATCATGGAAATAACAAAGAAATCTCTATAAGGACTTAAGTAATTCCCAATCCAATAAGATGTTGAATATTTAATTTAATACTATCTAGCTACCCTCGGTCAAAACAATGGCCAGGAGACAATGTAGCCAAAGCGATAAAAGCCTATATTCCCCATACACACACAAGTGTAAATCCATGTCGGTATGCCTTTTTTCGGATGGGTATTGGTGGCCATTCGGGTCACGCTCAAAAAATGCGCATAATTGGCAAATTTAGAGTAAAATTGCTTGACAAATATGCAAAAAATGTGTAGCGCACAAAAGGGGGCCGGGAGATAAGGGCAGCCAACACTTTAATGGCAAAAGGGATGCCAAAAATGTCAACGATTCGGCGGTGTGAATTTCACAAAACACATGTAAATTTATAGACAAAATATCCACTGCAAATGGCTAAAGCAAACTTATATATTATCTGGCAAATTTAATTTATAAGTATATACCATGACTAGTCACTTTCCAATATTTATTTATTGGCTAGATTAAAGCATTCACACTTGTGCTTCCACGAACTCCAGCTTATCTTTTAAAAGCACAAAAAAAACCCAATATACTTAAATTTATTGATAGTTTGTCTAGGGTGCTTCACTATTGGTGTCTTTGCTTGATATATGTATTAAAACAACAAAGCAAAGCTTTTGGATTGTCCCGTGATATTAAAAATCACTTGAAAACATTTGCTTAAGGTCAATATTTTCCTTCTTTCTTTTATAGAAATAATAACATGTTGCCTTTTTTTTTCATGACCATTTATATGTATTGTTTCTATTGTTTATTATAATAATAGGTAATACTCATTTCAAAACAAAAAATAATATCCTGCATTTATTTATCATTACAACTAACAAAAAAAAGTGTTATTTCCTTTGAGTCCCTCAGACATCCGAGTGCTTTTTGATCCAGTCCCTGAAATAGTAGACCCTGGCATAGCCATCCGGGTAGGTGGACCCACAGCCGCCCACAACGAATCCGGCCACGCCCACCAGCTGGTTGTTGTAGACAGCCGGGCCACCGGAATCCCCATTGCAGGCCCCATTGTCCACCTTGTGGAGCAGGCACAGTTCGCCCTCGAATCCAAACTCGATCAGCTCATCACACTTTGCGGTGGAAATCGACGTGAGGGTGTTGTACTGCAGGTAACGTGGCAGATCACCCATATGCTTGATCCTTCCCCAGCCGGATATTACGACATCCACATCCGCTGGCGTATCCGCGGTGGGCAGATCGATGGGCTGAATGCTGCTGGACAGGATCAGTGGGGTTTCCAGTCGCAGCAGGGCCACGTCGTTGAGGAAATTGCCATACTCCTCGTGGACAATCACCTCGGCCACCTGGTGCAAAACTCCGCCACTGAACCGATCGTTTGAGCCCGCTCGAATGGTGAAATGCTCCGCGGCAATGGCAATAAGATTGCCACTCTCATCCTCACTGGTCACACAATGGGCGGCGGTCAGGATGTAGGTCCTGGTCAGGATCGAACCGCCACAGCTGTGGGAACCGTCATTCCGCAGGGAAACCTGATGGGGAAACTGCGCCTTGGCCGCGTCCTCGCCACCGACCACTCGACCGTTCAGCTTACCGGGTGCCGACTGTACGGGCAGCACCAGGAGCAGCAAACAACTGACCACCAGAGTCGCGAAGGCAGTAACTTGAGCGGACTTCATTTTCACAAATGGGCAAGGCCCGACCAGCCGAAGCTCCTTATATACAGCCGGGGATTAGGGCTCCTGATTTGCAACACGCACTATCTTATCATATCTTATCATCGAGCGATGAGATTTATTATATAGCTGGTATACTGTGGTGCGGCCTTTAATCTAATCGAAGAGTGGCGGCGATTGGAATTATGTCACTGCTAATTGTTTTATGGCTTGTTGGCTAATCTTGATGCCAGTTTGGCTTGTTTTTGAAGACATTTTCATCGAGTTGCTTGCTATTCAGCAGTTTTAAAAATTACTTTACCTTGGCAAACACCTTCATCCTTTTATTTTATAGCCTGCATTTAATGGATTTCAAAATGTTAGTATCAAATGGGATAATAAGGCGTAACACAGGGGAAATCGTTTAATTGTGATTTTTAGATGACTTTTGCTGGGAGTGATTTTGTTCAGGAAGCTATTATTTAAATCTAAATAATTAACGTTGGCAATAATTCAACAATCTGGTCAAGTCATTTAAATATATATTTTGAAACCCAAGTACGTTTTTAAACAGAATAGTGATTTAACCAAAAAAATCCCATTAGGGTGCTCAATGTAGAGCTGTCATATTATCGATAGTACTTTTACAATAAGAATATCTCTAGTTTATATAAATATTTTTAGCCCACAGTTTACTATCGATAGAATTCCTGATATTTTACAGATGTCTTATGTTAGGCAAAAACTTATATAAAGCAACATTTGCTAATTAAAATCTATCGATAGTCCAATATCGATAGTCAAATATCGATTATTTGCAAATAAGTACACAAAGTTTTATTTAACTATCATTTTGTATCATTGCTTTTTGGTTTCATCTCCTTCACAGATCCGAGTTCTTCCTGATCCAATCGTTGTGGAAATGCACCCTGGCATATCCGTCCGGGAAGCTGGTGCCGCAGGCGGACCACACGAACCCGGCCACGCCCACCACCTGGTTGTTGTAGACGGCTGGACCGCCGGAATCCCCGTTGCAGGCGCCATTGTTCGCCTCGTGGAGCAGGCACAGTTCGCTCTGAATTCCCCAGCCGATCAGCTCGTCGCACTTGTCCAAGGATATCGATTTCAAGGTGTTGTACTGCAGGTAACGCGGCACATCACCCTGATGCTTGAGCCTTCCCCAGCCGGAAATTACGACATCCACATCCGCTGGTGTGTCCGCGGTGGGCAGATCGATGGGCTTGATGCTGCTGGACAGGATCAGTGGGGTTTCCAGTCGCAGCAGAGCCACATCGTTTCGGTGACTTCCATACTCCTCGTGGACAATCACCTCGGCCACCTGGTGCAAGACTCCGCCACTGAACCGATCGTTTGAGCCCGCTCGAATGGTGAAGCGCTCCGCGGCAACGGGAATGAGAGTTCCGTTCGCATTCTGATTTGTCACACAATGGGCGGCGGTTAGGATATAGTTCCTGGACAAAATTGAGCCGCCACAGCTGTGGGAGCCGCCGTTCCTCAGGGAGATTTGGTGGGGAAACTGTGCCTTAGCCGCGTCCTCGCCGCCGACCACTCGACCGTTCAGCTTACCGGGTGCCGACTGTACGGGCAGCACCAGAAGCAGCAAACAGCTGACGACCACAGTCGCGAAGGCAGTAACTTGAGCGGATTTCATTTTTCAAATGGGCAAAGCCCAAGTAGGTGTTCCTTCTTATATTGACTCTGGAACCTCCACTTGTTTTATGGCATCGCACTATCCAAGCTTAACCGCTATGTGAACAAAGGCATTTAAAAAGTATTAGTATTATATAATTGTTTTTCATATTTAAAATGTTATTTTAGTGTTATTTATTGTTTCTGCGAAATTTGGATACATTTAGAAAAACAGAAACATACTCAATTATATTTCTTTCTGATTTTATTATTCTACAGAAGAAATAAGTAATTTAAACCCCTCAGCTAACTTTACCGTTAAGCCTGTAATATCTTATCGCGCAATGCGATTTATTTTGAGGCCTCATGTAGAAACCAATCTTATCGAAATGGTCAACTATCGGGGAGATTTGGCGATTGCTAGTGGCAGACAAGCAATTTATGGACTAATCTTGATTGGGAATTTCATTCAATAGTCTGACCTTGCCAAATCAATAAAAATGTTGCATACTTTAAGGCAGTGAAATCTTTTTAGTGCAGAAATCTATCTGAGAATTGTAAGGTTCCAGAAGAATTAATATGATTATTTAATGATAAGCATTGAAAATACTATAGTTTCTAGAACCCTAAACATCAAATAAAAATTCACTTATTTACCCTAATGACCTAAGCTTCAGGCACAGCCGAAAGTCTCTGAAGAATTGGCTTGAAAGAGTTAGACAGAGAGAGAGACAGAAAAAAAAGAGAGAGAAGAACAACAAACACCTGAAGGACAATGGCGAAGGAAGTGGCAAAAGAACAATAACGGTAACGGACTGTGAAACGATTCATGATAAATCTATTAGCTCATCCAAAGCTGCATTGTTGGCGGTGCGAAAGAGAGGGATTGTGGTCGACAGAAAGGGACGGCAACAATTGATAACTGAAGACACAATTAGAGGACGTGGCAGCAACAGGAAGAGCGAGCGAGAGGCAAGGGCAGTTGGAAAGAGAAGGGACGAAAGGAATTCTCCTCACTTATTTGTTTGTTTTCTTGAAATCGTATGCGTGTTTGCTTGTTTGTGTTCGTGGGCGACTGAGACTGTGGTAACTTTTTAATTTAATCAAAACGAAGCGAATGCAAAGGGAGAAGAGACTGCGAAAGGATAAACGCAGACAGACTAAAAGAGAAGGATGAATCGGTAGTGCACAGAAGGAAACATAATATTATTCAAAAAGATTTAGTGCTATTGAATATCTCGTAAGCCCAAAACTTTGTGTAGTAGAAAAAACAAATGTTCCGCCAATAACATGGCATATATACATATATAAATATACAAACCATTATTTTACCTTTAAAACATTGTTTTAACTTTAAATACATATTGGACTTAAAGTGCAAGCAACTTTAGCCAAACACTACAAGTCCATTACAATTTAAGACTTTTGTTGAATTTCCAACTTTAATTTATATTTATATTTATATTAGTAATGTTGCCTTAAATACCTGGGCAGACCGCACAAAATAAAACCGAATAAACAGCCAGCAATATTCCAAAACTTATATAAAATTGTATTCCTCCGTTATTTAGGTTTAGTATTTATATTATTTATTTGTTTACAAAACTTGATTGCTTTAAACGATTTGGCAGAGGTCCGATTTACATTTTCAATAAATAATTTTTCATTATTGATGCATTATTTTATAAGATTAAAGTCGTATAGTTAACCTTCTACTTACTGTTCTCAATTAAAAATGCATAAGATCAAAATGAATGGTCATCAAATTCTTGTATGTTTTAAATCATAGATGCATTTTATTATTCAAAAAAGCACTGTAATTTTCCCATTTGTTTCAGTGCCGTTGCACGTCCTCCAATTTTCTGATTACATTTTTTAAAGTTATGCAAAAATGAACGCTGCCTTTTGCGCTGCCATTTGCTTTTTTGGATTTATCTTTCATCTTTGGCAAAGTGTTTCACAACTATTTCACTGCACTTGAGAGTGCATTGCTTGTGGGAAGGGGCGTGGAAAGTGGGTGGAAAAGTGGGCGGCGGAGTTCGGGTAAAAATCCCTTGAACAACTTCCCTCACCGTTGGCGCTGTTATCGAATTAAATACATACAGACAAAAGACATGCATACATATACATTACATACATACATATATAAAAGGCAGCGCCACAGGGCGATCAATGTGCAAATTTATGGAGCGAAAGGCGGTACCAAAGGGGGCGGTCCGCAGTGGGGGGATGGGGGTCTGCTATTGAGGGGTTTGGGCGGTACGGAGGCCAGGCAACAATTTTGGCAGCCAAGCACGTGAATTGAGTCCAAAATTTTGCGCACTTGTGCAATGATAGCGAACCACCGAAAGCCAAAACCAGCAGCATCAATTCTCGGGAACCCCCTTTTTCGGGGACCTTCATCCCAGCCTGTGACTCCAAAAAGCCGAAGCCAGGTAAACCATGTACTCCACCAATTCCATGTATGTATGTATGCATGTGTGTGTGTGTGTGTGTGTGTGTGTGTTTGTATGTCTCGGTAGCCGCCTTGAATATGCACATAGACGTGGTCAAAAGGGGGCGTGGTCGGTGAAAATCGACAAAGAGGGTTTCCCAGGAGCGGCGAACGTTGGCCATTTGGCGCTGCTGATAGCCAAAAATATTAGTCATTGCCTTTAAGTTCTTTGGCTTTTGATTAATGCAGCGGACATTTCTCAGGGTCTTGGCTTAAAATAAAACTTGAATGCCCTTAAAAATAAGGTATATGTGTGTGTTTACATTTTACAACATTTAAACACAAACTTACTTTAAAGAAAGAGGGTTTAATTATATGTAAATTACATTATTTACATTTGCATTTAGTAAGTTTGGCAACAAGTTAGTTTTATAATTAGCAGCTAGCTCATATTAATTTATTGATGAAAGCCTAAAATGTAAAAGAATGAATTCTTTTATCAGTTAAGGTATTTAAAATGTTTACAAATTCAAATTTTAATTTCCTCTTAACAACATTTAAATCAAAAATATTTTTCAATTACCAAACACCTGAGCGGATATATCAAAGACACTGCAAGATAAAAAGAAGCCATTGAAAGCCAGTGAAGCAAAAAATAAATCCACTAAGAAAATATTAAAAAAAAAACACCATAAACTTGAACTATTTTTATCGTCTGTCCCCAACAAAACAGTCGCTATCGAATCAATTCCCGTAATATCCGAACATGACAACTCATTAGATCCATAATAGATAATTGAAGCATCATCATTGGCGTGGTGGCCATCATCTTCAGCCTTCGATGGAATCCCATGGAGAATGGCCAAAAAGTTATTGAACTGTTGCCATTACGCTTCAATTGATTGTGGAGAGCCATGGGCGCGGTGACGCGGGGTGACTGACTGGCCAATTATGCCCCCGAAAAAGGGGGTTACATTTCGAATGGGAATGGCAGTGGGAATGGAAATGGGATTGGGAATGGGGATGGGGATGCTGGCCATGTCCGTTGCGAGAGCTCCTCCTTATCGCCATTGCACATTGCTCATGTCCATGTCCACGTTAGCGACGCCTCGCGACTCGCGACATTTGCCAAAAAAGGAGGCGTAAGCCAACCCTCCTCAGCGTCCTTCAAGCCCAGCAGCTTTTCCTGCCTTTCCGGCACTGCAAAAAATAATAATATTAATTCGAAAAGGAGGCTTCTTCAATGTACTTGAAAACAACACAACAAATAAACTTCGCAAGGAAAACTTTAAGTAATTTAAGGTATAAAGTATACAGCAATAATCACTATTTAATTTTATTAGCCTTTTGTTACTTTTGTATCTTTGATTTTATTTGACATATTATTTGAAAATTGAGAATGTACTCAGTTTAGCTTGTGAAATTAATATACCAGCATGTATGTTTTCTTGTTGTACAAACACCAACAATAAGGAAACAGTCTTTATTTGTAAATAGTTCAATACATAATATCAACATTTTAAACCTAAATTATTCTTTTAATTTCCACAAGCAAAAATTTTCCAATGCAATGTGACCAGTTCTGCATATTTTTCATTACAGTGTGCCCAAATAGCGATAACAGAGCATCAACCTCGCTCGAGACAGAGAGCAAAGAAAGAGGATGAGGCATAAGGGGCAAGAGGTGGGTGAAAAAGCGGAAAAGAAAGAAGAAATGGAGAAAGAGGAAGACGAAGGGGTGAGAAGGAGAGAGAAGGAGAGAAGGAGAGGAGAGTAGTGGCCCAGTGCATCTGCCACGTGCAGCACTTGATTTAGTTGCGGCAAGGAGTCAACGACATGCGACCAAGGACCATGCTCCAGGCAATTGAAATTAACATTGGCCTGGCCAGGGGTCACCCGGTGACCCCCTAGCTGTTCCTCCTCCTCCTCCTCCACCTCCTCCTCCTCATCCTGCTGGAGGAGCCGCGCACCACGCCACCCACCCAGCAACCATTACAACCCCTTCCCCTTACATTGCGATGACCGCTCATTTCACTTTCTCACTACTTGCGATGGATTCCCCTTTGGAGATTCGACTTCGTAATGAAAACATAAAAATCCTCCCCATATACATATGTGTTTTTGTGTGCAACCGAAATTAATTTCCATTTCGTACATTTAATGGAATTTACTTGTTGTTGTCTGTCAGGGCAAAAGGATTGGCCGGGGGGGTATACTCTGTGGCCGATCCTGTCCAGTTCAGCCGACCCACTATCCCTCGAAGGCCTGCAATCCACTGCATCAGGTTATTTCGGTTTCGGGCTGTTTGTTTGATGACTGCCTGTCAGATGTGGCCCAATTTGCAAGTGGTAATAGAGTGTAGACAAATCTGTGGCCAGGTGTTATTTTGGGAAGCTACAAAAAGTAGAAACTGTATAAAACGTTTTTATTTTCAGCAGACCCACTTTGTTCAACTTTGTTGTCATAGATCTAAATAAGCAAGTAAGAAAGCAAACTTCGGCAAGCCGAAGTTCATATACCCTTGCAGCTACAAGTATTGCAAGAATTAAAAATTTTTGAAAACATTAAAATTATGATTTACTTGCGAACATGTTTAAAAACATTGAAG